AGTTGCCTGGGGCTGGTAGGGAGAGAGGGTAAATGGAAATGAAGGCTTAGATTCAGAATTTCTGTGTGGGATAATGAAAATAATCTAAAATTGATCGTGGTTATGGTTGCACAACTCTGTGAACATACTTAAAACCATTAAATTGTGCACTTTACATGAATGAATTATATGATATGTTAATTATCCCTATCTAATAATAGACAAACATGATAATTGACTGTACCTTCGCTACACCTCCCATGGGCTAATCAGTGTGATATGCAAATTAACAGCCAACAAAGATGGTGGTTAATTTGCATATGTAGGCTCCAAGCGGCGGAGGGAAGACTGAAGGCGAGCCGGAGCAGCGAAGACGGAAGACTGAAGGCGGCTCTGGCCGGAGCGAAGGCCTGGGTCCCAGGTGCCGGAGGAAAACCTGTGCCGGCAGCCAGGAGAAGGGAAGGCCTATTGCATGAATCTCTTCGTGCAACAGGCCTCTAGTATCTAAATCTTTAAAAATTATAGCCATGAAAAAAATTATTTCCTGGTTCTGTTCATTGAATAGGCCTAGAAATAATGACATCCCAGCAGCAAAAAGCTCCCTTAGCACCAAGATTGTGAATTTTAAAAACTATTCCCAAACCATTTAGGAGGTCAGGGGGTCCCAGAATAGAATATGACAAAACAATCTATTAAAAATGTATGGAACAACTTCACTGAAGAGGATGGAGAGAAAAGGTGCTGATCTAAGTAACTTTGGAGATGAGTGGAGCCTGTAGACTAAGGCAGAGGAACTGTATATAAGCGCTATACTCAATAAAGATGTTTCCCATGAGGGTACAGGTGAACAATTTGGACACCACTATGTACTGTTTAGGGGGAACTGAACAATTAGGTAAGTGGATGGCAGCAGATGGTGGGAGCCAGGTTTCCTTCTTACTGTTGGAGTTGGAGGTTACAGAAAATAAGAAGCTAAAATGATCCATGTGAGAGTTGGAGACATCAGTATGAATGTTTAACTTAATATAGATACAGTGTTGCATATAGAAATACTAATAAGTATGTGTGTAATATACAGATTATATATATTCATATATTTCCTTTATCAGCTGAGAGTGCCTAGAAGCAATGACACCCCAAGAGCAAAAGTACACCTATTTTGTGTTTCTAATAACATTCTCTAATAAAAGGAACCAAGGCTCCTTGGAGAAGAGGGTCATTCTAGGACGAGGGCAATAAATATACAAGTTGATATTGTAGCATCTGTTAGTGCCAGAAAGTAATGAAGTGCTAAAAAAGAACACCTCACAATGATGGGGGTATGTCAAAGGCACACAGGAGCCAACTGAAAGAGCCCAGTGGCCAAAGCTGGAGCAATTTGAGCAATAAACAAGTAAAGGAGTATTGGATTAAAACCCAGGATATAAAATAAATATCAGCAGGTACTGATATAAATAAATAATTGAATAAATAAATAAGTGGAGGCAAACAGACAAAGCTACCATGCACAAAAATTTCAAATAATTTATGTAGATGTTCCCCATTTAAGGAGATGGAGCATAATTTACACTCTTTAACTGTGGGTCGTGCATAATCACTTCCTTCCAAAGACAGTATGAAAAGGGAAGAAAAAAGTGAGTTTACAGTGGAAAAGCCCGACAAACATTGCCTCATCCAGATGATCAAGGTTAACATCATCAGCGATAAGTCTTGCTGATAGCATGTACCCCTGATATGATGTGATGAGAATTGCACTTTATCTGCATGGTCTTCCTCCCCAAACCTTATGACCCCCCAGTCAATCATGAGCAAAATAATCAGATAAATCCCAGCTGATGGACAATCTACAAAATATCTGACCAGGACTCCTCAAAACTGTCAAGATCATCAGAAACAAGTAAAGCCTGAGAAACTGTTTTTACATTAGGTAAAAACTAAGAAAATCTGAATTAAGTGTGGGCCTCAGTTAATAATAATGTAGCAATATTGCTTCATTAATTGTGACAAATGTATCAGACTAATTTAAGATGCTAATAATAGGGGAAACTGGGTATGGGGTATATGAGACTTCTTTGTACTATCTTCATAACTTATCTGTAAATCTAAAACTGTTCTACAACAAAAAGTTTATTTAAAAAATATTTTCTACTAAATAAAAAATCAGGGCTTAGTGGAGAAGTGGCTAATTTCTACTAAATGGGAGAACATATTCACCAATGATACATCTGATAAAGAGTTAATATCCAAAATTTATAAAGAACTCATACTACTCAATACCAAAAAAATGAACAACCCAATTTAAAAAATGGGCAGAGGGTCTGACTAGACACTTCTCCAAAGAGGACATAAAGAAGGCCAATAGACATATGAAAAGATGCACAACGTCACTAATAATCAGAGAAATGCAAATTAAAACCACAATGCGATATCATCTCATATCTGTCATCAATAAATCCACAAATGACAAGTGTTGGCAAGAAGTTGGAGAAAAGGGAGCCCTAGTGCACTGTTGGTGGGAATGCAGATTGGTGCAGTCACTATGGAAACCAGTATGGAGTTTCCTCAAAAGATTAAAAATGGACCTGCCTTACAACTCAGTGATTCCTCTTCTGGGGATTTATCCAAAGAAACCCAAAACACTAATTCGAAAGAATATATGCACCCCTATCTTCATTGCAGCAATATTTACAATAGCCAAGCTATGGAAGCAAACCAAGTGCCCATCAATAGAAAATAGATAAAAAACCTTTGGCACATATATACAATGGAATATTACTTGCCCATAAAAAGAATGAAATCTTACCATTTGCGACAGCATGGATGGATCTAGAGGGTATTATGCTCAGTGAAATAAGTCAGTCAGAGAAAGACAAGTACCATATGATTTCACTTGCAAAATAAACAAACAAAATAGAAACAGACTTTTAGATACAGAGAGGGAACTGATGATTTCCAGAGGGGAGGGGAGGGTTGGGGCAATTAGTAAAAGAGATGAAGGGACTAAGAAGCATAAATTGGTAGCTACAAAATAGTCATGGGTAAGGAAGTAAAGCATTGGAAATCTATATATATAAAAGCCAAGCGACTGGAAAGACTGGAATGACCAGAATGACCTGTCGCTATGATGTGCACTGTGGCCGGCCAACCTCCCGCAGCCCCTCCCCCTGGCCAGCCAACCTTCTCCACCCCCCCAATTCATGCACCAGGCCTCTAGTATAGTCAATAATAAAGTGATAGCTATGTATGGTGCCAGATGGGAAATATTGAGGGGAACACTATGTAAAGTGTGTGATTGTCTAACCACTAAGCTGTATACCTGAAACCAGTAGATAATAAAAAGAGTTGGGGGAGAGCGAAATGGAGAGAGAGAGAAAGAGATGAAGCAAGTGTTGTGAAATCTTGATTATTCGTGTATCTAGATGATGGGTATGTAGGGGTTAAATACTATTCTACTTTTGAACGTGTTTGAAAATATATGTGAAAGATTTTGAAAAGCAAGTTGCAAAAAACATTCCATTTTTATAGAATTCAAAGCTAGTGTGGTGGGCTCTGTGAAGCACTGCCCAGATAGATCCCCCTTTACTGAGGGCTTGTTGCCCTGGCTGCTGGGAGTGCTGTTGGCCCCAACCATCAGTCCCTTCAGAGGTTGTTTCAACTGCAGAGAGCTTTCTCGCCCAAGGTCATGCCCTTTCCTAAGGTGGCCAGGTCTAATGACTGATGGATGTGATAGTATAAAGCTCTGGCCATCTTGGCCCAACCGGGGACAATTCTAAAGGACTATTGTTGCTCCAGAGTGCCCTGTGGGGTCGGCTAAGGCAGTTGCTGAGTCTGCATCACAACTTGACTCCTCCATCTGCCTGATCCTGCTCCCTTTCCCTGTCTTTCCCAGATGTTGATCCCAAGCACAAGCCTTGACCAAACACTGTGATGCTAAACCCCATCTCAGAGTCTAGTTCCCTAAGAACCTTTATTTGTGACAGTTTAATGGGTAGAATTGTGTCCCTCCTAAAATTCATATGTTTAAGTTCTAACCTCCAGTACCTCAGAATGTGATCTTTTTAAAATATATATATATATTTTATTGATATTTTACAGAGAGGAAGGGAGAGGGATAGAGAGTTAGAAGCATCGATGAGAGAGAAACATCGATCAGCTGTCTCCTGCACATTTCCCCACTGGGGATGTGCCCGCAACCAAGGCACATGCCCTTGACCGGAATCGAACCTGGGACCCTTCAGTCTGCAGGCCGATGCTCTATCCACTGAGCCAAACCGCCAGGGCTCAGAATGTGATCTTATTTAGTAGAAACAAATTCTCTAAGGAGTTAATTAAGTTAGGGTGAGGTCATTAGCGTGAGCCCTAATCCAATATGCCCGATGTCCTTATAAAAAGGGGAAATTTGGACACAGAAACAGACATGCTTAGAAGGAAATAATGCACATAGATACAGGGAGAAGATGGCCGTTCACAAGCCAAGGAGAAAGGCCTGGAACAGCTCCTTCCCTCACAGTCCTCAGAAGAACCCTGCCAACTCTTCCATCTCGGACTCCTAACCTCCAGCACTGTGAAACAAAAAATTTCTATTGTTTAAGTCACCCAGCTTGTGGTACTTTGTTATGACAGTCCCAGCAAACTAATACAGACAATAAACAGAGCTAAACACTTTTGTCCAGGGATGCAGATATATGTAGCAAAGCTATCAAGAAAAGCAAGAGAATGAGAAGCACATGTAAAAAATCTGTCTGAATGCTGGGAACATGTGCAAAGCTCTCTCTGCAGTTTGGCATTACAAGAGAAGGAAGTATGGACAAACACAGAAATCTGTTTCCGTTATGGGGATTGAATGAGACTTTCTTTGGTAATATTCATTTTTGGTCCTTCTGGGCCTCTTTCATAGCCAGTGGAATGTTGGGGCGGGGGGAGGGTGTGCAGATTTCCTTACTTACATTTTTTTAAAAACTGTGATTAAACTTTATTGTACAAAAAACCTGTTTGAAAGAAACAGAGAATCAAACAGTATTTCATTGCAAACAAAAGCTAGCAAACAGTAACCGCACACTCCCCCACTGAACACACTGGGAACCCGCGGCGCTGTGGCCCGGGTGGAACGTGATCCGGAAGCTGCGCTCCTGCTGCTTGCGCCGCCCCTTGCACACCTTGGTCACCTCCTCCACCTTCCTCTGCAGGGAGGTGGTCGATCCACTGCAGGGAGTCCGTGTGTGCGTTAAGGATCTTGCAGATCTGCTGTAGCGGGTCGCTGGTGTCGGCGGGGCTCCCGGACGTGTTCAGGTGCTTGATGATGTCCTTGAGGTCCTGGGCCATGCGCTTCAGCTGTGCGTCGATGTTCTCGGCCAGCTTTGTAGGTCTTCTCGCGCTCCTCGCCTGCTGCAGGAAGTGCCGCTCCTGGTCCTCCAGGTCCAGGCTCCACTTGTTGATCAGACTCTCCAGCTGGGCATAGGTCGACAGGATGAAGTCCAGCTCTTGGTCCAGCCTCTTCTGGTCCAGCTTCACCTTCTCCACCTCGCGGTGAAGGGTGGTGATCTTCTCCCCGTTCTCGATCAGCGTGCGGTCCCAGGCGTTGACCTGGGTGGCCTGCTGCAGGAAATGCCGCTCCTGGCCCTCCAGGTCCAGGCTCCACTTGTTGATCAGACTCTCCAGCTGGGCATAGGTCATCACGGGACTGGTGGACACCCCAGTGGCTGCACTGGGGCCAGACAGAGCAGTTATGGCAGTGGGCGCATTGCTGGGGATCCCGGCTGATGCCAGGGGTTTTAGATTCAAGGAGAAGCTGCTGGTGCTGGTGGTGGTGGTGACGGTGGATGTAGCTGTGGACGCGGTAGAAGCTGCTAGAGGAACCTTTAGGCTGAAGCCCAGCATTCCAGGCCCAGATGTTCCAGCTGTGGTTGCTGGGGCACCAAGGGAGAGCCCGGTGGCAGCAGATGAGGTTGGAGCAGTAGCTAGCGAAGCAAAGAGTGTGGGTCCAGCACTGGTGGTGACAGCACTGGGTGCGGGAGCAGCTGGCTGTGTGGTTCCTGCTCCAGTGGCTGCCGGTGTGGCTGGAGTGAAGGCCAACCCAGCAAGTGTCCTGGGCTGGGCCGAACTCCCCATGGAGCCAATACTGAAACTGGAGGTCCCCCCAGCCTGGGACATGCTTCCACCTGTGAACGAGAAGAGCATGAGACTCTTAATCTCAGGGTCGTGGGTTCGTGCCACACGTTGGGCGCCACTTGTTGGAGTTCAACCCCAGCAGGTCCAGGGGTTCCCAAAGGTGTGGACGGAGTTGGCGAAGAAGGAATGACACGGAGACAGTGTTCAGTTGATCAGCAGTCTAGCCAGGTTCTCTAGCCAGGTTCTAGCCAGGGTCTCCAGCCAGGTTCTGTGTTTATTTCTCCTGCTACATCTGTATTTATACCAGTTGATTTTAATCCTGTCAATTTCTATTCCAAAGGTTAGGGTGTTTCTTATCTCCATTCCAGGGAGTAAAGATTATGTAGCTTAAGGGTGATTGTTCGTAGTTACCGGCCTGGCATTTAGTTAAGGGGTTTTATTCCCTCCCTAACTTCAGGGAAAAATCCCTACCTGGGGAAACAACCTTTCTCGGAGGGATGACCTTGGTTAAAATACATAGCGCCAAGAAGGTGAGCAAACATATTAAGAACAGTATGCCATATATGCCAGGTCCCTTGAATCCTAAGCTGGGCAGATGTTTCTTCCCCGCAGCGACTGTGTCAAGCAGCAAGGGTGGTCCGGCTTCCGGGAGAGGATCTTTTCTTTTCAGTCAGTAACTTAAAGCTGTCATTTTTTTTGTCTGTGTCTTCCGTCCAAGCAATGTCCTTGATCTTCCCAGCGAAAGGCTGGTACTCGTACTTTAGGAGGTGCTCCTTCTGCGTGGTGTCCCAGATCCGCAGCTTCCCAGACACATCTCCAGAGGCTACGTAGAATCCGCTGGGCGCGTACTTGGCCACCATGACCTGATGGGCATGCTCCGTGTAGATGTCAGCAAGGGCTGGGTTATCGATGTTCCTTAGGATGACGCACTTGTCATTGGTGTAAAGAAAATTATTGCCCTTGGGGTCGCCGCCGATGATTTTGGAGACGCCCCTCTCCACCTGGGGGAGGCTGGCGAACACCTTCTTGATCTCGTATGGCATCCTCGCCCACTTGTTACCGCGCCGCGCTCGCCAGACCCTCGGGGACCGCCCGCCCCGTGAATCAGTCCTGGCCGAGGCCGAGCCCTGGAAAGGACCGAATTCGAGGCGGCGCTGGGTGTGCCGGACGTGGAGGGGGCCCCTACTTTCATTTTTAATGCCCCAGGAAACATGTTGCTCATATGACCTCAGCAATAAATCAGCTGGAAAGACTCATTTATGTAGTTTTGAGAATGAATTCAGCAGATTTCTTTAACTTCAACATTGACTGCAGTAGAAAATAATGTGCTTGACCTCATTCGACATCTTCCTGGAAAATGGGATTAATGTTTACCTCAGAACAGTAATATGCGGCTTAATGTTTCAGTGGAGGTTTTTGATGAGAGGTGTTGAAGAAATCCAACCTGTTTGGACTGCAGCTGAGATTGACTATTTTTTTGTTTAGCTAAACAGGAACTCTATATTGTTCTCCCTTTAGTGCTAGCCTGGTGCCTGGTACTACCCCGAGGCCAATAGACCTGCCTTCTCACCTTTTGGGGATATTTACTAGAGTTCCTGAAGCCGTTGCCAGGTAGGTCAGTGCCCTGTCCCTTGTGTGGTGTTGCCTTGTGAGGGCATGCCTTCCTTGCTGCTCAGGTAATGGCCCTTCTTCCACAACTAACACTTTCCACACACAGGAGGATTGCTTAGGGCCAAGCAGCTTCAAAAAGGCAATTAGCATAAAGTGGGAAAGTAGTCCAGTCTCAGAACCTGGCAACTAAAGGGACTGTAACTCAAATTACACATCTAAATTCTGGGAGTAGGGAAACAATGAAAAGGAACAATTGCTTAGTGGACATTTAAAACTGTTTTCCTAAAGCAGCGATTGTGTCTCTCTTTTTTTTTAACCCAAAGTAAAGGACACACTGAAGCTCTTCTCAGAAAACAGGTGGGATGGAGGAGATTTATTTATGACTTTCTGGAAGCACAAAGAGAAGCTTTTACTGTTGATAGCAAGGCTGGGTGGACGCCAGGAGACACATCCCAGAGGAGCTGTGCTGCCAAACACTGACTCACAAAGAGCTGACCTAGTCCTTTTTCATGCTGACTGCTTGCTTAGAAATTATATCAGAGGACAGTCCTGAAAAACCTAGTATGGTTTAGAACAATTAGGGAGACTTTAGAAAAATCCTAATTCTAAGGAACCATTTCAAGGGAAATAGAGAAGCAGTGTATTCATTAGCTTTGTGTAGAACTACTGTTCAGCTCATGTACGGAAACTGCCCCAAGACATCCCATGGCTAGCCATTCAGTATCAGCATCCTTCCTGTTCCTTTGAAACTACAAATTTTAAGTTGAGTTTCACCAAATGCCTTCTAGACACTAACAGGGCCAGGGAGGGGAAGGTAAGGAGCACATCATAGTAACCAATATTTTTAGACTTGGAAATATTTTTGAAATTCTGAAGAAATCAGAGGGAGAAGGGGTTACAGGGGTGGGCAAACTTTTTGACTCGAGGGCCACAATGGGTTCTTAAACTAGACCGGAGGGCCGGAACAAAAGCATGGATGGAGTGTTTGTGTGAACTAATATAAATTCAAAGTAAACATCATTACATAAAAGGGTACGGTCTTTTTTTTTTTTTTAGTTTTATTCATTTCAAACGGGCCGGATCCGGCCCGCGGGCCGTAGTTTGCCCACACCTGGTTAGGATGTGCCTGCTGGGAAGGTTTGGGAGGAAGGGAGAGAGAAAGATCAATGGAAAGTAATAATATAAAGTACAGAATAATGCACAGATTTCTTAGACTCGATAAAATCATGAAATGTCAGGACTGGAAAGAGCTTTAGAGACCATATCCCTGTCCTTCACTGGTCATCTGACTGATGAGGAAACTTGTTCCAGAAAAGTTCAGTGACCTGTCCGAAGTGGCAGAGCCAGGTGGGTGGCAGAACCAAGCAGGAAGCCAGGTGTGCTCACTCTTCTCATGTCACCCCTGGCCTCCCACCACATCTGCATCTGATTTCCACTTTGTCCCACAGCTATGGCCATCATCTGTTGCTTTAAGAGGTTTTGGACAAAGAGAACCATCAGCAGGTAGGATTGTGATTCAGTGCAATTGCCTTCTAGCTTCCTTGTCTTGTATCTTCACATCCTAAAATAAATAAATACATTTTGTATTTCAACCATCTCTTATTTTTAAACCTTTCATTGGGAAAATATGACACTTAAATGTAAAAGAAGAGGAATAACCTTAAGGAATTTTTTTTTTTACACAGTACTCATGTTCTATGATCTTTTATGATAGTATGGGTCCCACACACCTCCCATGACTGTCTATGTAGTAGCAGCTGCTGCAGTCTCATATTCCTCCTCCACAACAATAATTTATTTTCCCCATAGTAATATGAGTCCCAAGGATTTTACAGGATGCTTCCAGGGACTACATGGGCTCAAGGCTTTGGCTCTTCCAGATAAGCCAGTTGAAGCCATTTAGTTTGTAGAGCATTGTGGGGAGGGGCATACGTCATAATTGGTATAATATAAAATATAATAATAGCGTGTGTCTAGAGCTCAGCCTTGGGTCTTTAATTATCTCCTTCCCATCTTTATTATTGTCTTGCACTCTATTAGACATACTGTCGCCTCAACTACCAATAGGCCAATTTATGTTTGTTTCTTTGAGGCATATACAATCAAACACAGAAAACTACACAAATGGAGACTTTTTAGTATGGATCTTAGCAGATGAGTTGGCACCCAGAATACTCCAGGCATCTGATTTCTATCTTGCCATTTAATGCTCATTCCCTGTTTCCTTATGAAGTGAGAGAGATAATCCTCTTGATTTCCTCACCTGGGTTCCAGGAGCCAGGTGAGGGAATACATGAGGAAAATTATAAGATGTTCCTCAAAATTTAGGAAGTAAGCCTGGCCGGTGTAGCTCAGTGGTTAAACATCAACCTATGAACCAGGAGGTTATGGTTCGATTCCCAGTCAGGGCACAAGCCCAGGTTGTGAGCTCCATCCCCGGTAGGGGTGTGCAGGAGGCAGCTGATCAATGATTCTCTTTCATCATTGTTGTTTCTATCTCTCTCTCCCTCTCCCTTCCTCTCTGAAATCAATAAAAATATTGCCCTAACCGGTTTGGCTCAGCGGATAGAGCATCGGCCTGCGGACTCAAGGGTCCCGGGGTTCGATTCCGGTCAGGGGCATGTGCCTTGGTTGCGGGCACACCCCCCCGGGGGGGGGGGGGGCGTGCAGGAGGCAGCTGATCGATGTCTCTCTCTCATCGATGTTTCTAACTCTCTATCCCTTCCCCCTCCTCTCTGTAAAAAATCAATAAAATATATTAAAAATATATATATACATATATATATATATATATTTTAACAGATTTAGGAAGTAAAAGTGTCCTGATAAACATTTAAAAATGATTATTGTCTGTACAAATGCACCCTTTATGCCTCAGCACAAGATTTCAGATTCCTTTAGACATTTAAAAGAAATGTATATGCATCTTACTAAATCAGCAAAAAATAACTTGTAGGCATTTACACAGAGTTCAATGATACACTAATCAATATGAGAGATAATAGTAAGAGTTAACATTTATTAAGTTCTTACAATGTGCCAGGCATCTGCTGGGCACTGTACGTGAATTACCTCATGTAGCCATACAGCCAACCCTATGAGATATGTACTTTTATTATCTTCATTTTAAATATTAGAAACTAAGGCATAGAGAAATTATGTCATTTGCGCAATGTCACATAGCTAGCAAATTGAAGAGCTAGGATTTGAGCATAGTTTGTTTCCAAAATTTATGATCTTAAAGAATATAAATCATGGTTCCTACCCTCAATAAATGTATAATCTAGTTGGGGAAAACATAACTAATTTACATTAAAACAACAGTAAACTATGTTAGATAAGCATACAGTATATTATTAAATGCTAAATCAGATGCTATGAACTATGAATGCATCAGGAGTTCAGAGGGCACATGGACCAGGCAGGAAGAATTTCATGTAGCTGAGTTTTGATGTGCA